TACTCTAGCATTCGTTAAAATTGCATAATCGATGGGCCTATTATGCCTTTAAGGAGTGAATGTTCCCCCTTCTTTTACACCTCTTGACCTTTGACCTTTGACCCCCCAGCTTCGACAGCCCAACTCGTTTTGACGATCCCCCCCAATGTGCCGAATATCGTGACCGTACGTCGAGCGGTTAAGATTTGTGCCCAACTGTTGACGGACGGACGGACGACGCACGGACGATCAAGCGATTCTACAAGCTGCATCTGACTATGTCAGATGAGCTAAAAATGGATACATATATTTCCAAAAGCAGTTGTTCAATCATACATACCGAAGCTTGGATTTGGAGCACCACAAAATGGACCCACGAGTGGCCGGATGTCATCAAAGTAAGTGTCGTAACAACGAAGGTAAGCCACATCGCAGCTATCATCTGGCACTTTCTCCACACTGAATCCATCACAGCTGTATATATCATCTTCTGTACCATTGCAGTTCGCCTAAAATACAACAAGTTTGGTGATGTCTGATCACTAGAATACTCTGCTATCAGTTTAGGTGCATTTGAACTTAAAGGCATAATAGGCCCATCGATTATGCAATTTTAACGAATGCTAGAGTAACTGGCACCTTGTGTAGTTAATAAGTACATTACCTTATAGCCAAACGCGTATTAGTTTGTCCAATATCACTGCTTGTTACTAAGAAATGTCTAATTGAAATCCGCAGTCCACGAAATCAGTTGACTGACTTGTTTACAGTTTCGAAACCGCATACTTCGAAACGGGTGTGATGCAGATTTATAGTCCACCGGACATTTTCGCACGCATGCATTTTCGCTCGGCCGTACGCAATGCTAGCGATAGTACAGTACCGTAACTGTATACGTAACAGTAGCTGTGATTGTAATGAACGTGGAATCCACGTACGAATCACGGACGCTCGTGATAATGAAGTAGGCCGTGTTGGGGGCCAACGCTATGGGAGGATCGCGGACTAACCAAGGCCACAGACTAAACATGGAAAGCAGACGGCACTACGCGTATTTACGTATATTGGTCAAACGAATACACCTGTGTCTGAAATTGAAGACATGTGGGTACTTGTGCCTCAATACCAAGAATACACCCAGAGATACATTCTACTAGCTCATTAGTCATATATAAACATCCCGGGACAAACAATTCTCTGCTAAACACCCGTAGCAACATATGACGTTGCCTAACCGAATTCGAGGCTATTTTGCTTGGCAACCAATTTAGCGTTGGCACCAGATTACCAGATTTACGGATTTCAATTAGACATTTCTTAGTAATTAGTAGTGATATTGGACAAACTAATACGCGTTTGACTATAAGGTAATGTACTTATTAACTACAGAAGGTGCCAGTTACTGTAGCATTCGTCAACTTTGTATAATCAATGGGCCTATTATGCCTTTAAATATTGCATTAAGAATCATCACGTTTAACACATTATATATAATAGAATTACAACAAAACGTGTAACCGTAACAGTAACCAAAGTAATGAAATATTTTGCCCAGCAAGGAGTAGTGGCCTTTACCTTGAAACTTTCCACCACAAATTCATGAACGTTTACTCTTCTTCATTGCATTTGCAAACGTCACAAAAAACGTACTAAAACTCACGTGCAACATGACACGATCGTGACCGGTGTAAAAGGCGCCGCCGTAGGCGTCCTTCCACAGCTTGCCAGCTTTGTGTTTGACACCGACACCGAAACCAGCTGCCTCACAGGCCTTCAGGGCATAGGCTCCCTTAGAATTGCCAGCATTTACAGACTTAACGACATGAGGATCCGCACAGACACCTTGCCATGTGCCATTTAAATACATTTCCAAATAACTGCCAAATTCTCTGCGTAGGAGCTCAGTAACGTCCCGTACACGCATCTTATCTGAAAGAATGTAATAAGAATGAAATCATACACTTCATCCAAAATATATCTATACTACCCTTCAACTTCATTAAATTTAATTACTTCTTCATGCTAAATTTATACGATATGACCTTATTTAAACAACAAAATTAAGATATTATTTTATACATATTGACATTATTGACTTTGAATCCTGGAACAAGTAATCTCAAATGATTAAAGCATTGAACAATTAAACCTAGTTATAATTTCAGTAAGACAATGGTTTCCTGTATTATTTACAAAAAACAACACTTGGCTTTCACCTCATTATCCAACTGCAACCATCAAGTATATAAATCGAATCTTTCCCCTCAAAAAAAGTTGTGGAAACAGATTATAACCTAGATAATCTTCGACTATGCTTACGAGCGCAAGCAACGGCAATGGCTTGGCATTCATCACATTTCGAGATTCCCCATGTCTGGTTGCAGTCAGAGAGGCTTGTCTGCTCATCTGTACACTTGTGCAACTTTACTATGGCTGTAGTGTCAGATGCGAGGCTATAGTTCCAAAAGGATCCACCAAGTAGATAGCCAAGCTCCTTGCAAACCAGATCTGTAAAATTACTTACTCACAGTTACACACAAGATAATACAGCTATGAATAATCTAACAAACAGAACAATTTGTTAGAGCATCCATCAATGTACATTTTGCTGTTGCGTGTGCATGCATCTTGTGTGTGTGCGTGCCTATTGCGCATGTGTGTGCATATTGTGCATGTGCGTGCAGCTTGTGCGTGTGTGTGCATATTGTGCATGTGCGTGCAGCTTGTGCGTGTGTGTGCATATTGTGCATGTGCGTGCAGCTTGTGCGTGTGTGTGCATATTGCGCGTGTGCGTGCATCTTGTGTGTGCATCTTGCACGTCTGCGTGCATCTTGTGTGCATATTGCGCGTGTGCCGCTGTGCGTGCATCTTGTGTGCATATTGCGCGTGTGCCGCTGTGCGTGCATCTTGCATGTGTGCATGCATCGCGCGCGTCTGTGTGTGTGTGTGCGTACATCGTGCGCATGCGTCTTGAGCGTGCGTGCGTCTTGTGCGAGTGTCTTGCGTGCGTCTTGTGCGAGTGCGTGCGTCTTGCGTGCGTCTTGTGCGAGTGTGTGTGTCTTGCGCGCGTGCATGCGTTTTGCGCACGTGCGTGCATGCGTGCCTCTTACGCGCATGCATGTGTTTGTGTGTGTGCGTATGTGCATGCACGTAGTAATATGAGCATACACTTCACCCTCGAATTATTCGACCCTGGTTTAGCAGACATTGAAACTGAAAGCAACAGACAAAAAATCCGCTGCTTCAGATTTACCTAGCCGCACTGGAAATAGCTGTAAGATCTACAAGCATGGCAGTGAAAGGGCCAGTGGAGCTTCACAGCTCCTCTGACACAGAATTAATTTATTGATGCCTCCACTATATGATCATGGCAAAACAGACATCCATGCATTCACGTATCCACCACAAAATGTAACTAAAATTACTCTACTGCGCTCTTTATCCACAATCATTCCCAATGTTTATTATGTTTATTGTGTGTAAACTATAGAGAAAGAAACAAGAGCCGCAGAGCGTCTGGGCTCATCTGAGGTCTGTTGCTACGATTATAAACGTAAAATTTCAGTCGTGCGTAGTACCACATTTGTTAGGCGCAGATATGCAGACACCCAGTTGCGTACACATCATTGTTAGGACACGCCCACTATCGCAGATGGAGGGTAGGGGGAGGTGGGGGAGGGTGGGGGAAGGGGCGGGGGGAGGGGTGGGGGAAGGGGGAAGGGGGTGGGCATGGGGGACGGGGCTCTAATCAGGCAAAAGCAAGTTCACTCCTTTGTTAAAGCTAGTCAACAAACATACATGTTTAACCCTACCCGCTCTTGAGGGTCAAAAAGGTTATCAGACTACTTACTCTTCCACACGTCAGGGGGGGAAAAGCACATTTCATGTCCGCTTGTCAATAAAGCCATAAAAATGGATAGGTCACCGCTGAATACATTTCCAATTGCTCCGTCAGACCATGTCCTGCGAGATGTCTCTGCCCTGCAACAATTGACCTTTGAGCCTGTGACCTCCAATTCAAGCACAAGTGATGGCTTTTCCTACCATGATGCTATACACCGGGACTATCACAAGCCCTAGGTCGAGCCGTTTAGATTTGGCCGCAATTCTGGCATTTTCCTCCCCTATACCTTAAGTTAAGGAGTGAATGTTCCCGCCTTATTTTAACCCTCTTGACCTTTGACCTTTGACCCCCAGCTTCGACATCCAACTCGTTTTCGAAGAGCGCCCCGCCCACGTCCCGAATACGTGACCGGACGTCGAGCGAGAGTTAGATTTGTGGCAACTGTTGACGGACGCAGGTAGGCGGACGGACGGAGCGCGACGGACGGACGGACGCGGACGCAAACCGACGGACGCACGACGCACGACGACGATCGATGCGATTCTACACAGCTGCATCTGACTTATGTCAGATGAGCTAATGAAAACCCACAAACAACGTACCCTATTGTACCAATATTGGAAATAACGAGGACTGAGTCGCGATTACCGGGACACACCGAACTGCCTTATTGGTCTGTTGAGGTGACGTGTAATCTATAATTTCGCGTACGTAGTAGAGATATATATCCAGGTTCTCCACAGAGTGAATTCCAAACAGGGGGAGGGAGGGGGAGGGTGCAGAGGGACCGGGCCGCTAGGGCGACGGGGGGCCGGCACGTCGGCCCGGGGGGGCCGGGAGAGGCGAGGTGAGGGGGGGGAGGGTCCGGAGAGCGGGATAGGTTGCACCGGGAACGGAGACGACTAATTAATAGCGAGCGTGAAAAATCAGGAGCACACTAGCAGCCATAAAGGGATGGGGGTGCGAGGAATATAGATAGCCGAGTCGGTGAGGAGCGAGTGGTAGTGAGCCAGAGAGCGTGGTGTGAGCCGAGGTGTCGCGAGAGTGCATCGTGTAGCGGGTAGAGAGGAAAGATGACACGCGGTCGGAATGTCCTGTTCGAACGGGCAATTATGCTGACGATCGGCTTCCCAGTGCGCGGAGGCAGAAACTGTTGAGTTGGTGATGGAGATTTAAACGGGCGGCGGAGCGTAATTAAAAGGAGAGCGGGAGCGAGAGGAAGGGAAGAACCGAAGTTAAAACAGGGGGAAAGGATTTTCCCGAGGGAGGCGGGGAGACGGACGAGCGGACGGAGGCATCGGTTTGCGGCGACGTAGGAGGAACCTGTGGATATGCCTTATGCGAGCGAGGCGCCGGTAGGACGCGAGAGATGAGCGAAAGAGGTCTGAGAGCTGAGAGGCGAGAGGTGCGCCCAGGTACTGGACGGCCGCGGCGAAAAGTCAGAGCGAGCGGAGAGAGGAGCGAACGGAGTCCGTGAAGAGGAAGCGAGAAGAGCGCAGCGGTACACATCTAAGATATGGCCGAGATCGCGTACGTAGGCTACTGTCCACTAACGAGTCTAGGCGGAGTCCCTACGCCTAGCTCCCTAGACGGCTGAGCCGGCGTGACCTAACCATAGTCAGAAGTGTTCTACAGGTAAGCGTTCGCAGGTATAGAAGTGAACACGAGGAGGGAGCGGAGCCCAACGTTCACGGGCAGGTGGAGGAAGGAGCCCAGGGGGAAGAGAGGGCAGCGGGAACTGAGAGAGAGAGACGCACTATGAACGCACAAATTTATAGCTGCTAATTTTTCTGCTTGCTGGATGGTATTGTTAAGATACATTAATCTGCTGCTGTCATATCGCCCAAAGTTGTTTGGCTGCACACTGCTGAGAAATGGACCTCCGAACACCCTCTTGCAAAGCGTTCCAGGGAGGCGCGGATATCTGTTGTCTTCGCTCCTGTCAGAGCGAACTGAAGTACCTAATCCAGCAATAAAATGTAGTGAAGCACTTAAAAGCGAACGGCATACATTTCTGTTGCAGAATAGAAGAGTGCGAATCGAAAGAAAATCGAAATCGGAAAAATCGAAGAACGTTGCATTGTTACAACTTCGGTACCTATAGCACCGCGAGTATAAATTGTGCCCTAGGAAATAGCTGTTCATACAAATTGATACCAATCTATTGTGATACAATAACGCAACACAGAGTAGGGATCACACCAATCATGTGAGTAAACATTAGCCCTGTGGAGCTTCCGTTTATCCTTATTACATTATTGACGTATCCCCGAGGGTATCGCCCCACCAACCAGTGAAGCCGAGTAATAAAGCCTGGACGGCTGGGCATGCTACCACAGGCAAGTGTATAAGCTAGTTGCTTACTAGTCCCGACCAGGCTGGCAAGACTAACATTAATAACGAACTCTCAATCGGTATCCAGTATTTCGATAGCCGTGGGCGTCTGCACTTCCTGTTTTTGCGCTAGTTGCCTAATACAGGCACTTGAAACGTTAAGAAAATGATGATGAAGTAAAACACGAAGCATGTATTTACTACCAGTATCGCCAGTTTTAATGTTTCTCTATTCTCTTTCTCTATTATGTCAATAATCTTGTAAATTGCCATTCAAGGCTCCTCTGTCAAAGCGACAGCATAGCGTCGACATACGCAGTCAGGTGGAGTGTCCGACGCGTAGCCTGAGGCTAGGCGACCGATTCCGGGGACAGTGTGTCACTGCGTATTCGAATAAACCTTCGGATCTAGTCGGGCTTCGGTCTAGGGTCCGGGACGTGGCTCCGTCTATGAGGCGTGTAACCGGCGACGCACAAGCGGGGACCACGAGCGCCCCCGCACGGACAACGGCCGCGGGCCCTCCAAGAAACACCACAAACCACCCCCGCACACTCAGCGCGCCCCACCACCCGCCACAGCCCACCCCACCACACGCGCCGGCGAGGGGCCGGACTCCGCGGCGCCCACGCCGCCCACCCGCACGGCCGCGCCACCCACCCCACACCCCAGAGCGAGCCGCACCCCCGCCAGCCGCCACGCCCAGCACACCCCGCCCGCTGTGCAAAAACAAGCAATGGAAATCTAGTTTTGTTTGTTGTTTGTGGCACAGCGGCCGAGTCAGCGCGTGTAATAGAGTCCATAATGGCATCCAAGCAGCTCGCGCATAACATCACCGAACTATATAATATCACGCTCGTTTATACCCCAGAGAAGCCGCGACTCAACCTCTCATACGACGTTGCATATTAAATACATTCATAACATATAAGCCCGCGAGCACTGGCGCCACACGGCCCCTGCTCTTCGGTGTTAGCAGAGGGAGCCATTCAAACCGGCATTTACAGGAAATTATCCGGCAATAGTAAAGACGAAAATGAGTAGACAGTAACATCCATATCACACCAACTGGTGTTGAAGGTTTCGTGTATTTGCTCACCCCCACCCCACCCCCCGCGGCACTATTTATAATTATTGAAACGATCCAGCAGTGCCTGTGGCTGTGGCGTAGTGTAGTTACTTAGCAGTGTCGAACGACAGTCGGAGAGTCAACACTCAACAAAAACACAAAAGTAACACACACCCCGTGACCCGAATGATGTCCATGCATTAGAATGTACTGGATTGACAGTCGCTTTGTTCGTGGAGGTCTACTCGACCAATGCGGGTGCCGAGCGGTCTTGCAAATCTATGCGAGGGCGTGCCAGGCGCAGCAGTTAGCGAGAAGGAAGGAGTGTAGCCGGAGAATACGTGCGTTGGGGCGCGGAAGAGAGGGTATACTCTAACCCTGCATAGGCAGGAGCAGGAACTGTTGTGTTGGGGTTACGGTATGAGGGACGACTTGAGTAGTAGGTGCGGAGGAGAGAGAGTGAGAATGAGGGACGCCAGAGCAAGTGTAGGGGGTTGGTGGTGTTGCGTAGATGGCTTGTTGTGTAGCAGTGTGGATTGTATCGGTGATATTGATGAGTACAGGCGGGCTATGGCTGAGTGGTACTGGGTGAGCGACTATAAGTGATGGCGGACCGGCCGGGGGGGCGAGTGGCAGAAGTAGAACGCACTCCGTGGGCAGGGCGCGGAGGGTGAGAAGGCGATGCGCGATATCGGGCTGAGTAGAAGATCTCGTGTAGTGTTGAACATTGAGTCATGTCGAACGTACGTGCAGCTGCCAGCTTTGCTGTGGGAGAAGGACTGGCGGCCGGCGGGAGAGCAGCGAGTCAGCGAGCGGGGGGGGAAGCGGTCGACACAGAGAGAGAGTGACGCGAGGTGAAGGAGGAATGCGAGCGGCGACGAGACGTGGCAGGCGACTATACCTTTAGCCTACGATGATCGTAGTGGGTAAGCAGGGCGAGGTCGGAGCGAAGAGAGCGATGCGAAGACGTTGCACAGGTGTCCAGCCATGCAGTACTATACAAATATGTGAAGAGGGGGAGGAGGCCAAATGTAGGGGATAAGTTTCGCTTAAGAAGTGGAGGTTACAGATGGAGGAAGTGATTTAACCTACTCAGTATCTCGGCGAGACGAACTTGAGCTAACATGTGTGCTATAAAGTCGTAGATATTATAAACACATTTGTAATAGCGTCGGCGGGCACAGTGATTTGAGTTTACATTTTCTAAAAATTCCTAGATACGTATACAATTCAACAGAGTGGCTATATGCCCGGCAGGCCCGCATATATATGTAGACAGCGTGCCGGGCACGGGTCTTTGGTCGATTTCCCTAGAATGCTTGGCAGTTATTTAATTTTCAGGGTGCATTATCATCAAGTTAACAAAGGGTTAGGGTTTATGGTTTAGGGTTAGGAACTGCCAGGCATTTAGGAATCGAAGAGACCGTGCTCCGTCTGGCTGCATATAGCGGCCACAGCGTACATATAAACACATGTTTAGCTATGGTCTCTGTGATTTTGAGTTTATTAAAGCAGCGAATAGTTTAATTAATTACTAACAAGAGCCGCAGAGCATCTGGGCTCATCGAGGTCTGTTGCTACTGGTTATAAACGTAACATTTAAGTCGTGCGTAGTGAACCCTTTTGTTAGACGAAAGATATGCCAGATACGAGGCAGTTGCGTAACACATCATTTTCAAGCACCTTCTGCATTCTGCTACCTCCCAAATCCCATTGTTGATACAAATCGCGTGCCTCAAACTCACTGTTTTATATTGGTGCACAAGTGACCCTCACCTAACCACTATTTAAAAAAAAATAATTAATTTTTGTTCTAAAAATTATTTGTTGTTATTAAATTGTTGTAAATAAATCATGTAAATATTTGCATTTATTGGAAAAAGATAGTTAAATGGATAAAGATAGAAAAATACAAGAAAACAAGTAAATATAAAAAGATCAGATGGGAATTCGATCCGAACGACGCATTTGAGGCCGTGACCTGTGCTGTATCGCGTTCGGCTATGAACCAGGCTATTGGGTTTTCTAGATTATGGATGTGGGCCCCATAAATATAACAACACTGTTGACTCCCATTGCGGAAAAAAAGAAAAAAAAAAAAAAAAAAGTCAGGAATCCATGTTAAACCCTCCTCTTGATGGTCAAAAAGGTTATCAGACACTTACTCCTTCGCACGTCAGTGGAAAGCAGCATTTCATGGTCTTTCAATAAAGTGACTAAAATGGTAAGGTCAGCGCTGAATACAAAAAGGTTTTTCACTCTGTCATTAGGTCTGTCCGCGAGAACATGTTTGATATCTGACAATTCCCCACTGCCATTTGACCTGTTGACCTCCAATTTTCGTCACTGGTGATGGTGGTTTCCTACCCATCACACTATACACCCAAATATAAGAGCATAGGTCAGGCCGTAAGATTTGTGCCGCAATTCGCGTATTTATTCTAATACGTTAAAAGTTAAGGGAAAAAGAATTCCCTCTTCGTTTACACATCTGACGCTGACCCTTGACCCCGCGAAGACGCCCCAATTTGTCATTGTGATTTCTTTTGTCACAATTCCCCCCCCCCCGAATCCCAAATATCGTGACCGTACGCGAGCGGGTTTAAGATTATGTGCCCAACATGTTGACGGGCCGGAAACGGACGGACGAGATGGAGCGGACGGCAGCGATCAATAGCAATTCTACATAGCGGCATCTGACTAACGTCAGATGACGCTAAATAAAATCATATAAATACGCACGGTATCGCTCATAGGCTAATATATACGCGTGCTATGGCCGTAGGATACGGTGTTATTAACCTAACATCGTTCCGAAGGATTCTGAGTTAGCATTTCTAAAATTCTAGATACCTATTAGATCACAGTCTTATGCTATACTCTTTGTGAATATTGAGATTATTGACACAGCGATTAGTCAAATATAATTAGCAAATAATATTCGCGGAAGTGAATTACAGATGATTAAATGTTCCAAACCAGCGCCGGACTGCTGAACGCCCGCCTACCCCCGCCCCGGGGCGCCCGCGCTGTACCTGTTTGCACGTGGCGGCATTGTAATGTCATGTACAGCTGGTACATTGTATTGGGCCATGTATACAGGCGGCACTGGAGTAAGGGGGTGTTCGGAGTCGGGTGTTCGAACATTTAATCCATCTGTAAAATTCACTTGTAAGGAATATCTGCATTGGAGGGCAAGCTTCCTGCTAAATAATTATAGTAGTATTAGTACTGCCATAAGCTAAAGGTACAACTGTCCCCAAGTTTGCAGACTTTTGTCACTGGGCGAGCAAGGCCACAACACTTGAAACACTCTCATAAATAAAAAAAAGGTAACATAAACATGCAAGATCGAAAATGGCATTACTGACGCAGTCTTAATGTTTCTCTACTTCTATTTTCGCACTATAATCACCTTTTGTAAATGCCGCACATGCTCATGACTGCGAACACACAAGTACAGGTGGGACGGCAACGCGCCGCCT